TGAGCCGGTGAGATTAGAACCGCTGAACTGCAGATAACAGTCAGCTAAAGTGGCCTGCAGTACTGCACCCTAACCACTGCGCCACCTCGGCTCAGCTTTGCTGGCTGAGGGAGTTGAAGTCCACAAGTCTTAAAGTTGCCAAGGTTGGACATCACTGCTTTAGAACATCCTTTTTCAGTTCATACCCTCTTAGGTTAACAATTCAAATCTGAGCTAATCAAGATGTCTTTGGCCCCAGTTGGCCTGAATTGAAGGCATCCAAACTCTGGCTACAAAATATGCAGTTACATTTTATATATTCTTTTACGTTGCGATGCATCCAGAGCCCTTCAGGATTGAGGTGGTTTATAAACAATGTGAAATACATACCTACAATTTTAAACTATTTGTGTAATAGAATGCATGGCAAAATGTACCTTAGCCCTTAGGCACTTAACCTGAGCTACACGTCATTTTGTGTTTTTTTAAATAATGATATTTCTCTCTTCTAGAAACTTCAGAAACTTAAATCCTAAATGCCAACTCAATTATAACTCAAAACTCCAGAAACAGTAGCCTCCAAAACATGGAAAAGGTCAAAGCAACTAAGCCTGACTGGTAAATGAGATTTCTATTAGGAGCATTTGACAGCAACTTTCAACTGACATGGCAATATAAGGAAAATATTCCACCTTAACTAAAATCTGGACCTCGATCCTGGCAGCTGATGACATATTTGGATATAATCCTCACAATATTCCTACATTGCAACTGCATTTCTGCAGACAAATGCCTACTGTATGCAAAGAGTTTGGCTCATAGCAGCTGTGGGCTTGTTCCAATACTGCTCTGCACACAAGGAATATCATTCAATCCACAATGTTCTCCCCTACTAAATAAAACAGACTTCCTACTGCAAGATGTGAGCAAGCTGAGGAAGGCCGTAACTCAGTGCTGAAGGGTGTTCTTTGTACACAGAAAAGTCGGCTCCGCTTTCATTATCCAGCTTAACTTTCGTTTTAAGAGTCTCTGATAGCAAGGGTGAGCAAAACCCTTGGCACGAACCCACCGTTTTCCTTAAATGTTCCACATCCTTATCATTTCACATTCAAGCACCTCCCCGTTCTCCAGTTTCCGTCATTCTCATTCGGAAGACCCAGATAAGAATGAATGTAGACCAACAATCCTTCTGACTTCATTTTGTCTTCATTTTACGCATGGCTCAGAATTAAGTCTGTGATCAAGAAAACTTAGTTCTTAGAGAGGAGTGGCCAGGAGTGTAGCTTTATCAACTCAAAAGAGCAGTTTATCCAGATATGGTTTGAGTCTGACATAAAGACAATTGTTCTAAGTAGCATGTCTGACTCTTGAGGTCACAAGTTCGCACCATCCTCTCTTGTGGGATTCCACCACAAATTTAACATGTAACTTAGCCTGATTATTTCATTTTTTCTCTTGAGAGTTTTCTTCTGGAAAGAAGGCCTTAATGCAGTGTTTCTCAACCTTGGCAACTTGAAGATGTCTGGACTTCAACTCCCAGAATTCCCCAGCCAGCATTTGCTGGCTGGGGAATTCTNCTGCAGATCACAGTCAGCTGAAGTGGCCTGCAGTACTGCACCCTAACCACTGCGCCACCTCGGCTCTTTTTAATGAAAAACAGGATCATCCACAACTCATTTCCAACATCCTGGCACTTCCAAAGTCTGAATACAGTCAAGATGCAAACTCACAACAATGCCCATGACCCTGTTTTTTGGAACTGCACATCTGTCTCTGAATGGCTGTCCTTCTTAATCTGGGCCCAAGTTTCTTCACCAACACAGGGATATGATAATATTTTTACAGGCTTATGAAGAATGACTTCATAAACAGCAGCAACAGACTGTAATGTGATCAAGTAATTTGGGACCCAAATGGGGAAAAAAAACAAAAATAGTGACAATAATCTACCCAACATTGTACAAATTTAAGCACACGTTTAAATCCTTTCTACTGAAACGAATGGTGGTTAGAGCCAAACTAAATTTAATGCCATTCACATAGTCAGCAAGTGTGTGATTAAAATGCTGAGACAACCCTGGTCCCCAATTCCAGGGAGGAATATTGGGGGAAACTTTAAGTATTCGAAATCTCTTCAATCCTAGTCCAATTGAGGAAATGTAGGGACAAAAATCTCTATCCCATATATTCTTGGGATTCAACTCAAGACAGAATCTTCGGCATCTCAATTTGGATCCTCACAACATGCTGTAGGTTAAGGTTGCCTTTGGAGACAACACTGAAGCTGGAGTTGATGCAAAATGCAATTAGACTGCTGTGGCATAATTCCACTAGCTAAGTCCAAGGCTAAAGTTACTAATTGCCAATAGACTTCCAGAAAATTCAGAAGACCCATAATGATACTTTTGATCAGTTGGTCTGAATGATATTTAAAAAAAAATTCTTTATGATGCAGCAGCAGGAAACAGCTTGACAAAATGTATCTGCTTTTCTAGGGCAATCAATGGCCGCATCTGTTGAGGGCCCACACCCACAAGATTACCAGATTACAGGTAGCCCTCAATTTAAGACTGCAATGGAGAGCAAAATTTCTGTTGGTAAAGGCAGCAGGTGATGTGAGTCACACCTCATTTTATTATATTTTTGCTACGGTTAAGTGAATCATCGCAGTTGTTACTATAAATCATGTGATTGTTCAAGGAACCCGGCTTCCCCATTGATCTTGCTTGTCAGAGGTTCTCTAGGAAAGTTTGCAAACGACAATCCCAGGACCCTGGGAATCTGCAACCATCGTAAATATACTGCCGGTTGCCAAACAACCGAATTTTGGTCTTGTGACTGTGGGGATGCTGCAGTGGTTAAAAGCGTGAGAACTTGTCATAAACCACATTTTTCAGGGTTCTTGTAACTCTGAACGGTCACTAAATGAATAGTCATAAGTCAAGGGCTACCCTGGTGTACATGTTTTCTTCATGGTACTCCTCATTCTTTAGAACAGTGGTGTCCAACCTTGGCAACTTTAAGACCTGTGGACTTATAGCAGTTAGCAATAGCAGTTAGACTTATATACCGCTTCATAGNTGCTATTGCTATTGCTATTGCTATCCCCAAGCTTCCAACTGTTTTTCCCTCCTGCTCTTCTAGTAAAGAATTAATGCAACCTTGCTGCATGGACTCTTCTAAAACATTCCAATATCCCCATTCTCAGCTCTCCATTTTCTGTCTTTCATTTATTGGCAATAAGGGAGGGGATATGAGAAACAAAGCCGCCCCCCCACCAACTAGCCTCACCTGGAACTTATCCACTGGAGGGATGTCGTAGTTCTCAGCTCGCAGATTGGCTGCATGCGTGATGAATTCCAAATGGGAGTCCTTATCCTGAGGGCACAACAATGGCAAAATCAGTCCTAACCAGGAAGTGGTGGAAGTAACAGAAACGGATCTCAATGGGAAAAGAGACAAAAGTGATTGTAATCCTTACAAAAATCAGGAAAAACAAAGAACAGTTGGGTTTGGATAGGCTGTAAAGAAAAGGCATAAAAATGTGGCAATGCAGGGTAGATATGATGTTTTGGAGGGTTTATTTTTAGTAAAAGAAAACAACGCCAGTGACTGCAAAAACAGTGTGCGTGCAACACATTGTGCAATCTTGGAAAACAGTGTGTAGCTAAATAAGTTTCCACAGCCCGGAGCAGCTGCAATACAAAGGTTGCCCTTGACTTGGTTAAGGAATTGTGCCTTCAGGTCTTTTTCCCTTCCTCCTTATTATCCTCTTTCTTCCCACATGACAAACCTATTTCACAATTTTTAAAAATATGGCTGCCCCTTTTGTCTATCCAACCTATACCAACGATACATTACAGGCCCTTCGGACTGGATGTCTCTGGAATATTTTTGAATTGGGAAGAACCAAGGCAGCTTCAAGTGGGAGATGGGAGAATGTGAAAAAGTGAAAACGCGAACTGTAAGCCATACAATCTACAATACAATAGCAGTGTTGGAAGGGACCTTGGAGGTCTTTCTAGTCCAACCCCCTGCCTAGGTAGAAAACCCTGTACCGTTTCAGACAAATGGATATCCAACATCTTCTTAAAGACTCGAAACTGTGTAGAAAATACAACAGTTGTATAAGTACTGCAAAAATAGGATGGTGTTCTGATTCATTAATAATTAATTGATAAGAGCTATAAGGCAAGCCATTTTACGAAACACAACTCTTACAGTAATATTGCAAATCAAAGAAACAGTAAAACCAAAATCCTAGTTCCTTAATCAACAATATCCAATCTATCAGACAATGTGATCACCAAGCTCCAATGCCTAAGGGAAAAACCCAGCTCTTTGCAGCTTTTTGGAAGGCTAAAAGTTGGATCCCAGGAGGGATCCACTCCACTGAGCAGGGGCTGCGATGGAAAGGCCCTAGTAGATGGCAGCATCCAGGGGAAGGGGACATGCACTCCCAATCTGATCTAGTGGAGAAGACAAATATCCTCAGGGAAAGGAAGTTCTACAAATAACCTGATTTTGTGCCATGCAGAGTTTAAAAGATAACCAGCAGCCTGAATTGCACTCCGAAAGAAAATGAGAGACAGTGCGACCACGAGCAAATCAAAGTACACCATTGCATTCTGGACTAGTTGTAACTTCTGCATGGTCTTCAAGGGAAGCTCCATGGAGAGCACATCGCAGTAGTCTAATCAGAAAGTCCTAGTATGCAGTATTGCTCTGTCAAGCAGGTTAACTAGGTCTGATCATGCATGCAGCAACAGAAGAAGAGTTATCAGAAAGATAATTTATTAATTAGACTTCTATACCGCTTAATAGGACTTTCAGCCCTCTCTAAGCGGTTTACAAATTTTTTAGCAAATTGAGTCAGCAACTTGCCCCCACAGTCTGGGTCTCTCATTTTCTTTCGGAGTGCAATTCAGGCTGCTGGTTATCTTTTAAA